CTCTGCAGACTCGCACAGAAATGTTTTACTCTGTATTAGAATACAACGATCCGGACATGGTTACCACGAAATTGTGCTCGTTTTTCTGCCTGAGTCCTCGCAGATCAGCTAGACATCCTTTGTGCTCATATATATATATATATATATATATATATATATAGCCGTAAACATCGCTAGGATGAAGAAAACAAAGTTAACAAGGCAAGATGCACGAAGGCTTCTTTATTCCAAGATTTCATAGTTTCCATTGAGCTATTCCCACAAATAGGTTGATGTTGTCGAGGGTGGTTACACAATTTGAAAGTAGTTCCATGGTCCCATGAACAGAATTCTCATAACTGGTGAAAACGGGAGTGTAGAGCGTAAAATGACATACCAGGTTCTGAGTAGAAACATGCCGTTAAAAGGAACTATAGATAGACAGGGAGTAAACTGGATTTCCTTTTTGTGATTTATTTCACTTTTCCTTAATTAATTTTCCGCATTTGGATTACAGCAACGGAATGAAGTCATTCCGGTAAAACAGCTTTCGGCTTATAGCACGATTGGTTCGCTAATCTGAAAGCTTATGGTTCGCTGTTTGGGTAGTGTTATTCGCACATAAACATTAAGGAACTAGGGCAAACGCTTATATACTTTAATTCGCCAGGTTCCGTGACGCCAGTACACCGTTTTGCGTCCCCGTAATAACTCGTACAAGAAGCATCTGCGAACAGCATCTTGATCATTTGCCAATACTCCTCCAAGTTGGGGATTTGAAATGAGATGACGTCCATTTCAGTGAACCCAAATCATTGCCACATCCCCGCTACATTGCGGGAAGGCTTTTAAGCCAAAGGCCTTGGTTGAGGACTCTAATCGTCCTCCTGTCTAGGTCTGGGCATCCTGGCAGTCTCTCAGCCCACATACAACCATGACAATTTCCCCAAACTTGAACTGCATCCTGCAACGGTCTTCAAGCAGATTACCAAGGGTCATCTTATCTGCTGCATACAGCAGGGTGGATAAGCGAGAACATGCTACTGCTGGCGCCTCTCTTCTTTCTTTTCCAACTCTTTCTTACTCCCATTCCGATCTCCACTACTAACCTTTCTTTACTAACTCCCATCTTAATTGACAGCAGCCGTAATGCCACTGGAGTGTAAACAGATGCAGCCACCTTTCCGCAACACCCACCGGACGTCTACCGGCAACAGTCCATCATAAGGCCACGCTGGCCCGTTTTCATGGCGGCGTTCAACGTTCGCACCCTAAAACAAATCGGTCAACAGGCTGCACCTACACGCACGTTACACGGTGGGCATTGACGTGCGTCGTGTGTCTGAAACTAGGATCTATTTGCCTAATGGGGTTCGTTGAATTAACTGCGCCCGGCTTATCCTCTCATTACTGGTTGCACGCATCCGGAGACGCTGATACAGCACTCACAGTTCAAGCTGAGGTTGGTATCATTCTGAGCTCCAAAGCCGAGCCATTGTTGCTTGACTGGATCCCGGTGTACAGTCGTTTATGTGCAGACAGTTTGACGACACCGATCAAGGTTGATTAAGGAACTAGTACAAGACGCTTTCTTTGTGAACTCCGCTTATGCTCCCACTGACTGCGGCTCTGATCCTTTCAAAACACATGCTATCGCGAACTGAGCGCGCTACTACGCAGTTACAGGTTCTGATATCATAGTTCTTGTAGGGGATATGAATGCACAAGTAGGGCGTCTGAGCTCTTCAGAAGTTCAGCTAGGTGGTAATTATAAGCTAAACTCCGAATGCACTGACAACGGCGAGCGTCTTTTGTAACTGTGTGAAGCACCGGCTGTTTCTTAGTAGCACCGCTTTTAGACTCAGTGGGTGCCGAAGTACCACTTGGCGTTCTCCTGTAGCTGGCCAGCGATAGACCTCAATAGATCACATTGTCCTAAAGTATAGGTGGCGTGGTTCTATCCTGGATTGCGTCTCGTTCTGAACTACTTGCCTCGGCTCTGATCATGCCTTGCTACGCTGCCGTTTTTCCATGAACTTTGCCGGGCGGCTCACCAAGCGTCTCCCAATTTTGGCAACTGAGAAACTATCCCTTCCCTCGTTCAGGCATGCTTACCAAGCTGCACTGCGTACCGAACTTTCACTCCCTTGTCCTAGTGACACTGAGCTTCAGTGGAATAGGATCTCGGTCGTCATGTACGATGCAGGACCATCTGCTTGGGGCACTAGCACTTATCACAGCCCCATCCACTGGATATCGGAGAGGTCAGTGAACCTGATGGAATCCAGAAGAAACCTCCCCGCTGACTCTGAGCAAGAAATGACAAGACAGATTATTGAGCGTGAACTAACATGGAGCTTACCTGTTGACAAGGAAGTCCGATGGACCAGTCGGGCTCAAGAAATGGAGGAGGCAGGAGTAGTAGACAATAAGAGCAAGCTCTTCCAGCTGATCCGCGCCAATGGTCCCAGGAAATAAGGAGTCAGTGAGAGAATAAGAGACAGCGCGAGGGCTCGGATTCACAATACAGAGCACCGTATGGCTCATTGGGCGCAACACTTTTATGATCGGTTCAATTGGCCCCCCACTTCCGGAGCTCTTCCTACTCAGATAATGCAAGGTGAGCTATGTACGGTTAGTTTAGAGGTTCCGTCGGAAGCTGAGGTCCGAAACACGATCATAGCTCGATCGTTTTCTTGCCTATGGCCCGGATCCCCTGCCAGCTGAACTATTTAAGCATGAAGGTAAGGTCCTCCGCAAAGCACTGACTTCCATGTTCGAACACGTATGAAAGGAGGAAACCGTTCCGGGTAACTGGAGTGAATCGATTATAGTGGCAATATACACGATGTGCAGTCACACCGATTGTGCTAAACACAGAGCTATTAGCTTAACGCCAGTTGTAACAAAATTACTGGTGCTAATTCTCATCTGAAGTCTCACTGCAGAACGAGACTCCAGGATTAGGGAAGATCAGCGGGTGCTAGAGCAGCACCACGCATACAGTAGGCCGACAATATGTGTGCTCCTCGATTTCAAGAGCGCTTTCGATGCGCTTGATCGATGCATTCTGTTCGAAATACTTGCGCGGAAAGGTGTACCCATGGAATATGTGAAAAATTGATGTTCGCTGTACTCGAACATTACAGGCCGCGTCAGCCTCTACAGTGACCTGTCGGATAGCTTTCCGACAACAAGTAGCGTTTGTCAGTGTTATCCAATATTCCCATGTTTGTTCAACTTCGCCATGGACTGCGTCAAGGAGTGTTCACTTGCAGAATCTCACGATGCAGGCATTGAGATGCTGCCTGGTGAAGGCTAGTTGATCTTGATTGTGCGGACGATATCGTCTTGCTTTTTGACGGGGTTGGGGCGGCGCATTCAATACTGAATAGCCTCAAGAGTATTCCCATTCTTTGGTATGGGCTTCGTACCTTCAAAGTACAAAGTGTTGTTACAGGACCACCACATGATGATCCTTTGACCCTTGATGGCCAGGAACACGAGGTAGTTGATCACTTACCTTACGTCGCCAGCTGTATCAGCAACGACGAGTGCATAGCTCTTGAGGTCAGTTCACGTATTGCAAAGGCCAGAACTGCCTTTTTGTTCCTGTGACATCTTTGGTGACAGATAGGACTTTCCCCTAGTCTGAAAGGCAGTATGTACAAGGCCACAATGATGGCCGTCCTACACTTTGAGAGTAAGACTTAGCCCGTTCGCTCTGAAGATCTAAGGCGTCTGCAAGTTTTTGCTCATCTTTGTCTGCGAAGCATCGCTAGTATCGGATGGCACCACCGTGTCCGCAACGATGATGTGTGTAGGTTAGTACTAGGCAATGATAACCAAGCTAGTTTTTAGAGCAATCGATAGCACTGAATATGCTGCGTTGGCTTTGGCAAGTACTACGTATGACCGGATGCCACTTAGCGAGGAGAGTTTTGTTTTGTCTGCCAGGTGTATGGTGGCGCATGGCTCGAGCAGCACAGAAGTTGATTCGGCAGCGTGAAATGAAGTCACTGGCGACCCAACTCGGTGCGTGGGTCCGTCTCACCTTCCACGCTGGAGTCCACATGACATGTCTTGTGCTTGGCTCGAGAATTTCTAGGACTTCGCTCGCAGTCGACACCAGTGGCGCGTCTGCTGCCGTCTCCTAGTCGGATTGCCTGTTTAAGGTGTGTTTGGTGCTGAGTTATCTATCGGGTAATGGCTGCTTCTGATGCGGAGCAATGAAAGCCGCAAGTAACGTGTCTCGCTGATGCCGCCTTATGTTTGCACGATAACCAGCTGTTAGTGATGGTATGTTGTCTACACAAGGTGTAGGCGTCTTGACCCTGATTGTTTGGTTAGGGCATTAATGTTTTTCAGTAAGCCCCCTACTCCACCTGCTATTGTTTTTCGTTCCGTAGTTCACCGTGGTTGTACGACAGCGAAGCATCAGTTCAAATGGCTGAGGTACTGCTGTTGATGACGATGATGCTTTGCCATTACTGTATCCACTGTTCAAATGTAGCATAATTGGTAACTACACGATTATTGTTCCATGGTGTCCCCCTATAGACAATTTTGGAATCGTACCAAATAATTTTCTAATTGATTTCACAAATATTAAGTCTGTTAGAGTTTTGCTTTATACAACCGAGTAGGTTACACCGATGCACACTCTATTTGGCTGAAATTAGTGCAGTCTTCAAGTGAATGAATGCCTCCTCGTTAACTGCTCTCCGTGGTTCGGCCCTGAAGATTTACGTTCGTCCATCACAATGTTGTGATTGGTTAGCTTTCAATCTCATTAAAACAATTCAATGGATTCGTATAGGAGCAGCTGGAAAACTCATCGGACGTTCTGAATCTGTCCCACTGATGGCACCTCTCCTCTAAGTTGGCAACTGAAATTTACACTGACGAATCACTGACGCAAGTGTCTAACGAGGACTGCGTATTTCTCAGTTATTTGATCGAGTTCCTTTCTCGCATTCCTACTGCTCTCTTAGCATTCTCCCCTCTATCTTGTGAACTAGACTCCCCTTGATGAAGACGTATCCATCGGCGTGTACCACAGCGGGATCCTCGTCTACCGTGGTCGCATACGTATTGGACGATTTCTGTGGCCCCAACTGGTTCAACTGTCCCACAAGTCAAGAACGTTTAGCATGTGCACCCGTGCAGTGAATATCAGTCCCAAGATCCGTGCTGCATTCCTTCTGAAGAATAACGGGTCTACGTCCGGCTCCGGTCTTTTAAGTGCCAAACGCAAGTCCGCTGGTTCAAAGGATCAGCAAGATTTGCACCAAGTGTGTACATTGAATTTCCAATTTGCCGAACCTCGCTTGGCCAAACGACTTTGGGAGTCTTGCACTTCGCAACATGCCTTCTTCAGGTGAGTGAAACTGTTGTCCACATAAGACCTGAGTCTCTGACATTCGAACCTTGTCCATCAGATAGGTAACGCTTCCCTTAACAAGTGAGTAGTGATCAGCGTTTTATCACATCTAGCAGTTTAGCCACATCGGTCGTTACCTTCTCTAGTAGCCTCCTGGTCTTCACCACTGACTGGTTGCGGGTTCTAGTCCCACAGGGGCCCCAGTTGGAATGTGCACTGCCGGCGATTACCTAAAGGATGAAACGACCCTACAGTGTTTTTTTTCAGCTGTGTGATGGTGGCCTGACTGAGTCTAAGTATGATGAACTTATACTTTCATTAACGTTTAGGTTGTAATAGTAGATAGTACCGCTGCTCTCTACGAAGCGGAAGTGAGCAAAATGTTATTCGGGAACAATAGGGTCATTCAAGCCGTGGAAAAATTTAAGGCTGTATTCCGTTTCAATAGCTTTCCACTAAATATTTCTGGTTGTCGCGTTAAAGCTTGGGCATACTACGCTGCGTTGATTCTCCATTGTGCTTCCTATTTGTGCACTTTTGGGAAACTCCAGCGGGCCACACTTCATTGGTCTCCTCTTCACTGTTCTCGTGTCGGATCAGCTCACCCGAACTACTAATGAACAATGAGTTGTAACGGGCATAATTGCGATTGTTTGACAAGTCTCGTTGGTTGATTGGAGTGGGGATTATCAAGCGGTAAATTAAAATTATCAGAAAAGGAAAAATTCCGTTGTAAGGAGACTCACCGAGTTATTCCCTTGAACACATGGTGGTCTGCTCACCGCTACGTAACGCAGGGCCTTTGAGTACACTGCGTAAATCCGTCTTCCAATGGAAACAGTCTACGTCACACGATGTAAGTGGGATAGGGTGTGGTCCAAACGTTTTTTAAAGAGCGCTAATGTGGGGGCGAAAATAACGTGAGCAGGAAGACCGTTCCACATTCTGGATAGGCGAAGACAGAGAACGTTTTATCGGCGACCAAATAGACTGTGATGTATGGCTGGTTTGAGCCTGTGACCTCTCAGATTGATGTTGTGGCTAACTTGCAACCGGTAGAACTAATATAATTTCTTCATGTTTGACCAGATGTAGTGGCGGTGCTAGGTTTGCTTACTTAGGAGCTTTCCCGGTAATGCACAATCAAAGAAGTACTTTCAAGCAGGTGTTAGTCAACTGTCGTTTGTAAGTTTGAAAGCAACCAAACGACAACTTGAAAGTGTCATGGTATACACCTCAGAACTCTTACCATTTACTTGATAGAGGTCACGAGCTTGTCTCGTAATCTTGCGGCGCGGGTTCGAGCTTGCGTAGGGGCAGGGTGACCCTTGCAGTATCCTTAGCCCATCTGCGACCGGTGGTGGTTACATGGCAGCTAAGCGTCGGTACTGCGTACCGGCGTACTGCTGATGCACTATTGGAGAGCCTGTTGTCTTTCAACCAAGCTATAACGCAGTTAGTTTGTAAATCATGACGGACCGAAGCTGTCCCCCGTGGCACAGTGGCATAAGCTGCTGACTGGCGGTTCAAGCCGCTGGTTGTCATGGGTTCGAATCCTGATGGATGCGATCGATGCGCACTACTGACGATGCCCAACAGGAGGCGGTTCAAGCCGCTGTCATGGGTTCGAATCCTGATGGATGCGATCGATGCGCACTACTGGCGATTCCCAACAGGCTGAGACTGCAATCTAGTGCTTTTCCGGGCATGTGGACGACTATCTGATTTGGAAACTGGCTACGAAGAACCTCAATCAAGTCAGTATAGGCTTTAGGTACCCAAAAGGGTGCATTTTCAGCATTTTACAGTAATTACCGCGGGTGGATTAAAATGGTAAATTTAGAAATGCAAATTTGTCCATGAAAATAGTGGCATCGGGTGCAGAGATGTCCCCCGAATGCGGTCCCTTATGCATAGGTAATAATTTCCGTTGAAAGGTGCATCATTGGCATATGGTTTCTGTTGTATTTACTGGGTCGAATCCCAGTCTCAATCGGGACGATGGTTCTTTTAGTTACAAAACGCCTTTGGCAAATTTACGAGTAGTAGCAAAAGCAGTATCTCAAAGCATGTTTTAAAAACCAGCGCAGTACATCGCTAGTGGCGTTGAAACAGTGTAACCAAAGAAAACCTCAATAATATATGGTGAAGCCTATTGTATCCGTGGTAGATAAAATACAAACGGTGTCCCATTGAAATGGCCACGGGCAATTTAAAAGTCCTGCATGCTCTTTGGAGATTAAGAGCGTGAAAATTCTGTTCAATTCCCGCCTAGGTTTTCAGAAGCTCGGACCTCCTCAGACATATGACTACTCACTGTGTTGATGCTCCTTCATTTGGCGTTTTCTCTCTGGTCGGTCTGCCCATTTTTTTCTACTCAGCCTGCAACTGAATGGCATTCTAGGAAAGTCTGCTAATAGTCCGAAAGTTTATACACCAGATTTTGCTGGAAAATCAGACGAAGAGCTGTGAGACCCACCGCTTTTAAGTTTTTGAGCGCAGCGATCATGAATCACTATAATCTGTGCTCCATACGAACTTACTATTCAGCCAGGCGATCAATGGACATGGACTCCTGAGGTCGCTGTACTCAGGCACCGCACTAGGTATTGTTGGTGGCCAACTCTGAGCTCTGTATTCTTTGGCATTTACTTGGCACCACCAGTGGACTGGGCTGGCATATCACCGATTCTGATCAAAACCAGACGTTTGCTCACTTCCCGAGCAACTTCTGTCGGGTAAAACACTGGAGAAGACAGCTTTTGCTTTCGTAAGATTAATGCGACTTCGCACAGCGTCTGACAATGGTGAAGGTGAATTGTATGTTAGCTCATCTCTCCATGCCAAAATGTACAACTGTGGTATGAGACAGCACTGTCGCAGAGATCGGAGATTGACCATTGAACGTTGTGGGGATTAAGAGGTTTGTCATCTTTGATTGTCAATGCCTGCGCGCATTGACTTTTAGGTCTTAGGACTCCGTATGCTTAAAATACCGTAATCTATTCTTCGAATGTGCTGTAAAGCTGTTTTGCAATTCGAGTCACTAATTCAACCAACCTGTAAACTGTCGCTAGAAAAGGAGTTTTCGTTTACTTTCGTGTCGGTTCCTTTTGGTTCAGAAAAATGACTCCTAAGTGAAATGACCGTTAGAACTGTCTGAGCTACCTACCTGCTGACCTGGTTCCATACATCTTGAGGCATATGTGTGCAAAGCAGCCTGAACCATGCTACCAATTTTCATGTGCTAAAGAGTAAGATGTTTTCCTTGGTTTGGAAAGCTTTGTATGCGGAACCATATTGGGACCACTCCCACCAACGTGCGCTAAGTCGCGGGCAAAAGTGACCGGAAGATCTGAAGCACCACTAGGTCTTTAACCGTCGTTATCCAGTTGGCGTTTGTTGCGCCAAGACGAAATCCGGAAACGGAGCTGTGTAGTAATGCCTTTATTCACGTAAACGGCAAGTATCACTACACCAACAAGGGAGCCCAAGGCATTCGAGGTCACACGCACACAGAATCAATTTACCGATCAATGGTTATGGCGGATGGCCAATGGCCGTAGTGCACACACGAGCGCACGCACGCGGTGAGCTTCTTGCAAAGCGTATCACCCCTCCCCTCTGTTGTTTGAGCTATCCGGCTTGGATTCGATCCACTGGCCGAGGTTGGCGCTAGACCAACGTAGCGGCACTTGATTCGGTGGTTCAGCATTTGCCACTTGTGAATCGATCAGGTCCGCTGTCTGGATTTTAAACTCACCGTTGGTTCCTAAGGGCGACGGTCTCGGTCGCACGTAATCTAATAGCCGTCTGACAATCCTGACATCTTCAGTGTTTACTTCAATGTTGCCCGTTGGCTGTTTTAACAATGGTCGGTCGCCACCCAGAATCTGTTTTTAAACGGACAAAGGTGGGAACAGATACTTCTACGGGCGTGTCTCTGCTGTCGGTGTCAGAGTGTTGCTTTACGCCTTCCTGTTTTTCGCAAACCGAACCAAGGTTCCCATGCAATAAATCCAATCGTGTACGCAACCGCGGGGTTACTACCGGTGGTTTTGTTTGTCATCTTACGATAAGCAAAAATTGCACGATCCAAACGCACACGCAGTGGGGCTGCTGGTTGCTTCCGTAACATATTCTTCACAGTCTGCACAGCTCTCTCAGCCAAAACCATTTGCTGACGGATGATGAGGCGCAGTAGTCACGTGTCTAAGTCCATTCGAGGTAAGGAAGGCAGAAAATTCGGTACTAGTGAATATTGTTCCACTAGCTGACAGTAGTGTTTCCGGAAGACCGCAGGTTGCAATGGTCGTGCGCACTTTAACAGTTGTGTTAGCTGAATTTTCTATAGTCGGGACTTGGGCGTCAATCCACTTGGATTAAGCGTCCATAACCAACAAGACCATCTGACCTTCGAAAGGGCCAAAGGAGTCTATGTGGATAGGTTTCCATGGTGTTTCTGGCTACTTCCATGCATGCATTGGTACGTAGGGCACAGTGTTCCAATTTGCCTAACAAAGCACGCAACCTCCAACTTTCGACGCGGTGTCCCTGTTTAAATCAGGCCACCTCACATAAAAACAGGCCAGCGACTTTCTTTTGCTGACTTCATAATGTTCATCATGCAGTTCAACCAGGATAACTGATCGCAGCTTCTTGGATACTACAACAGGGCTCCCCACAGTACACATTCGTTATGGTTAATGAGTTTGATCAATCTGTTAAGAAATGTGTGCTTCTTGGATGTATTTTCTGGCGACGTGATCCAAGCGTATCGTTTCATGAGTGCTAAAATAGTGTCTCTATAGGTTTCTCGGCATATGTCTGTTGCGGTAACGGAAGAACTGTTAAAGTGTAGGACAAGATTCACGAGTTGATGTGGGGCACGATCTTTCGAAGGTAATTCCGAGAAAGGAAGCACCAGCAATGATATTTTGTCCTCCAGGGACGTATTGAAATTGATATGTAGTTGCTGAGAGAAGCAAGACCCAATG